ATAAACGGAGATATCTACAGAGAATGAGAAACGGATTTTGAATTCGATAATTCCACAAATAAAAGTAACTGCCACGTATTAACAAGGGGCGGAAAAAAGAACACGTGGTCACGAAAATATTTCGAAATTAAAATCAAGCGTTGAGAAAAATAGAAACCAACTTCGCTACGATTATCACGATCGAATATATTATTCGAGATGCAAACAATGCATTCATTTATGGAAATTATTACTTACTTATAACAGCGCGAAGAAAGACAACCCTTCACCGAGACAAAAGCGACGAAAATGGCCGAATGGTCGAACGCACCTAAAAACCGGATATTATCGATGTTGAAAAAGGAAGAGAAGGGAAACAATGTCGCCAACACATATCGATTCTATCGATCTAGGGTCTCACACGGCATGAAATATCTATATGAAGCTGGCTGCGTTCAGCGACTCAACAGTTGAGTGAGCTATTGGCCTAATTTCCATCGAGGATTTAATTTGGATCAGAATGTAAGAACCAACCAATTACAGTCGAGTATTCCCCAGTCGAACGACAGGGGAATGACAGTCGACTGTAGTTGGTTGGTTCTTCTGATCCAGATTGAACCCTCGGTGAAAATTAGGCCATTGATATATACTTCCAGATCTAAAATGCTGATAGGATGATCTAAAAGAATACACCAATAACAGCGAGCTCCCACTTAACTGTTGAGTCCACTAAACGCAGCCAATAGCAGCGAGCGCTCACTCAACTGTTGAAATATACAATATGATAATGAAATATGCCAATTAAATGCAAGAGCTCACCGAGCACTTAGTGAGCAGTCGTGCTTCTAGATGCACCCATTAGCTGCGTTTAGTAAAAAAAGTAGCTTTGCAACTGTTGTAAAATTCTTTAATATGAATATACTTTAAAATAAATATATATTCAAGAAAAAGTTCTTGAAATATTAATTCTTCTTTTTGTAATATTTGCACAATATTTTTGTAAAATATTTCAATGCAATATTTTAAATTGTTTTACTAAAATGTTTACAAAATTGTTTACAAAATATTTTTGAAATATTTTATTGATGAATATTTTTGAAATATTACATTTTTGTAAGACAAAATATTACATTGAAATATTTTATTAAAATATTGCATTTAAAATATTGCATTAAAATTATATTTTACGAGAATATTATGCAAATATGACAAGGAAAAGAATTAATAAATTAATATTTCAAGAACTTTTTCTTGGACAAATTTATTTTAGAAAAAAAAACGCTAGAAAAAAGATAAGAAATTGATTACAAATGCTAAAGAATTATAATTAAAAAAAAAAACTTCAATTAATTGTTTGATTAACACAAACAGATTCGCCATAAAATTCGATCATTAATAAAATTTAAAAAATCTCAAATTGAAGTTGGCTATATTAATTTTTATTTTTCCCTCTTTTTCTCGCAATTTGAATATATCCGATTTTCTTGTTGCGCTCTGCGATACCATGCAATACGCGACAACTTCATGTTGCTCCACTCGCATTCCAATATTCCATTCGTGATTCGTGATTCGCGAAACGGAGTGGAGTGTGATGGCTAGTCGCTAGCTGTTTTGTTGTTATCGTTTATCGTGGTAACGATGCAGAATCGCGTGCGTACGTGATTGATCGCTCCGACCGTGACAACGACGACGACGACGACGACGGCGAGAGCAAAGGTGCCGCGAAGGCACGGACGAAACAGCTGATTGGCGGAGATCCGCGTCGTCCGAGTCCGGATCACGGCCGTCTCTAGTAGGAAACGGACCGACGGTCATGGCGGGTTTCGTGCTCCGGGTGAAGACTAAATCGGGTCAAAAGGTCGTCTATGGTCTAACGGCCCATGATAAGGTTTCTCAGCTGAAAGCGAAGCTCGTCGAGCTTACCGGCGTTCCAGCAGCTGCTCTCCAGATCCTCGGCGGCTTCCCACCGAAGCCCATCGACCTGGACACATCTAATGCCACGATCGAGGGCGTCGGGATTATCTCTGGAGATACCCTTATCGTTGAGGAGAAACAGGTTTGTCTTATCTCCTGGAAGCTGGGAATCGATTGTGTGTTCTTGAAATGAAGTGAAAATTACAATAGTGAATATATAGAATATTTATTTTATTAATATTAATATTAATTTTATTAGTCAACACCTAGTAAATTTGTTCACTTTTTTTGTGATTTTTGTCTCGTTTCAAAATTCACATTCGACCTGAGAGTACAGAAAATGGTATTAAAAAGCATGTGGTTTTCTTCTTTTTACGCTAGGGATTTTTCACAAGTTTCTCCATTTAATGATTCATTCTGGATTTGAAGCATTTTCCATGGTAAACTTTAATTGTTTTATTTTCAGGTTTAGGTTTAGGTTTAGGTTTCAAGGTAACATTATTACTGATATTTCGTCTATTGTTTTTGCAATCTCCTATGTTGTATCTTATTCTTCCGCTGTATTCACAGCGGAAGAATTATTATTATTATTATTATGTATTATTAAACAGACTCTTACATAAAGCATAATGCATAGTGCATAAGGGAATCAATCAATCGAAATTCTTCTTTTCTAATGAATGGAAGGAAAAGAAAGATTTTGATTAGTTGATTCGCTTATACACTATGCATTATGCAAAAATCTGTGCTGCAGCTTTGTGTCATAAAACTGTAATATAAATACACAATAACATGAAGCTTTTTAAATCTTTTTCAAGACATGAGATAGAGATACAGAGTGTAATGCCGAAATTAAAATTTGTGCATGAGAGTCATAAACTGGAACTTTATTTGTGCCAATCTCTGTTTAAGATCTCAAACATGTATCAAATAATTTAATTTTTGTAACATTAAAGTGATTTGTTTATTTATTTTGCTCAAAGCTAATTCAATGTTGAAAGCTAAGAGAAGAATCTCTATGTGAATGTCACATGCAGATCGTGTTCAATAGACATGAGCAAAGACTGGATAATCTTGGGAGATCCCATATCGTCGACCAGGAGAACTTTGCCAATATTCCAGGCGTTCTGATGAGGAAAGTAGTACCTGCGGACAATTCCTGTCTTTTTACCAGCGTAGGTTATGTCTTGAATGGTGAGCAACACTTATAAATAAAATTAGAACATTTTGCAATTTATTAGAGATAATATATATTCCTATACATATATGTTCAATATATGTTCAAATAATTTTCTTAAATTTTAAAATACAGAAAAGTATTAAGAAAATATAGTTTGTATAATTTTAACGCGAAGTACCAACGTTTCTTTCTAAAAAGACCAAGCAAGTAAATTATTAAAATATTATGAAAATAAAGACACTGATAAAAAATATTTCATCAAGAACATAATTATTGATAAGTCAAACAATTTCAAAATCTTGTCTTTTACGTAAGAAATATAATATTAATTTAAAAAATACAGAAACGGAGTTAGTAATGATCATTTAATACTTCTAGTTTTAAACTTATAAAACAAATGTCACGCTTTTAAGAATCATGAATTAAATAGACACTTAAGAATATTAAGGCTAAATTAAAATTTTATACATTTCAAAATAATAAGAGAGAAAAAAATAAATGTTAAACTCAACAAAGTTGTAATAATTTATTTCTTCAGGAAAAGTCGACACTACTTGCGCTAGTTTTATGAGGGAGATTATAGCAAACGCAGTAGCGGCAGATCCAAATGAATACTCCGAGGCATTTCTGGGCAGACCCAATGCTGAATATTGTGAATGGATTCTCAAGTCTGATGCCTGGGGTGGCGCCATCGAACTGTCGATCCTATCTAAATTTTATGGTTTGGAGATTGCGGTAATCGACAGTATTAACGCGATCATCAATAGGTTTGGCGAAGATCAACGTTATGCTCAACGAGTTTTTCTCATATTTGATGGGATCCACTATGATCCTCTCTATCTGGAACCGCTTAATGTAAATTTCTATCAATATTTAAAAATTTTCTGTAATCTCAACCTCTATATATTTTGATCTATAATCTCAACCTCTATATATATCACATCAAAATGAAAAAAGTCAAGTAGTTTATTTCTTTTTTTGGATATTTATTTAGAAAGATTTAACATAGAATTCTATGCCTTTTGCAAACTTTATAGTTTCGATTAACATTTTAATATATTTTCTTTATCAGGGTGGCAGTATTCAAACAATCTTTTCCATCGAGGATGAGAGGATGTTGCTGGAGGCTGCTCAGCTCGCGAAAGAGGCAAGATCGAGTCGCCAGTTCACGGATGTTCAAAAATTCACACTAATATGCATTGACTGCAAAATCATGTTAAATGGACAAGCAGCGGCTCAGCAACACGCCAAGGATACCGGTCACAAGAATTTCGGCGAAGTAGCAGCATAGCCTTGTACAGCAGCAGCTCTTATGATCTAACTGATCCAACTCTTCGGTGACTATCCTTGACTCTAAACAGTATAGGATGATATTTTGCAGTTGTTCTCTTCGGTTGAATTCGAAAATTTCGGTTTCTATCTATTTAGTCTTGTGGTATGCAATTGTAATTTAAATCCAAGCAATTGCTTATTATTGCAAATTCTTTGTACTAAGGAATTCTAACAATAGGGAAATTCTGTGCTTGAGGAACATGTGTGTGATATTTTTATAAATTATATTCGCAAATTAATATTATTGTATAATTATATATTCTAGGTTTATTAGTAATTATTATATTTTAACTGAGGAATTATTTTTTATTGATATTCTGAATCATATTTATATACAATATATTGTTATATTTATGCTAGAGCAAAATTGTTACATTTGTGTTGGAACAAAATTACTCTTGTTGCTTTCAGAATATTTTATACTGTTTAAGACTGAAGGATTGCCATTTTGCAGCAAGAGAAAAAAAAAGAGAGAGAACTAATATCTTTTTCTACTCGAACGAGGCGCTTGCAAATAATAGTAACATTATCATTAATGCGAATTCGTTTGCAATAAGGATTGTTAATGCGCATAATATACAAGTTACTGATTTTGATTAAACATTGTTCATTATCGATATCTGCAATCCCAAATCGACCACAAAAAACATGCATTTGATCTCCTTGAATCTTTACATTTGACTAAAAATTGTTTAAATTTTTTTTAACATATAGAGTTTTTAGAAAATTGCTTTTTTTCCAGAAAACATGTTAAATAATTTAATCCTTTTAAAGGTTATCGTGACAATAAAAAATATATAGTTAAAAGGATTAAATTATTTATTAACTGAAAATACGTAAACCCCGATTTGCATTTAATTGTTCCAGTATTGCATTAGTTTTCCTAGCTGAAAAACATTGTAAATCAATCGCATTGTACACAAATGTAATTTTGTTCCGTAAAAGCTGCATTTGCGCACAATTCGATTAATTAATCGACGAATTAAACTTTTGCCTAATTAATTTACACATTAGTAGAAATGGAAAAAAACAATAATGGTACAAATGCTTTGAAGCATTTTTGATTGGTCAATCGAAATGGCCAAATGACTTCGAAGTGTTGATTGGAAGGCACGTCGTCCTAGCTAATGGCTACTAGAGAACCCTTCCCTCAAGGGAAGAAAATAGCAAATTGCATCACATGACCTATTTCCTCTGATTAAAGCAATATAATGTAGGTATTCGCATCCGCCATTTTTAATCCTTTTCCCACTCTTTGTTCTCTCTTCAATCTTAGTTTAATGGCAGAATGGAGAGAGAGAGAGAGAGAGAGAGAGAGAGAGAGAGAAAAAGAGAGTGAGAAAAGGACTAAAAATGGTGGATGCAAATATTCATATTATAGTGTCTTACTCTGATTGGATGCGGGCATCAAAGCTCTCCATAGGCATGAAAAAAATTGGAGAAGATTGGTCACGCGACTCTCGAGTTGATTGGACGTGTCATTCACGTGATGCATTTGCCACTCTCCCTTTGAGGCTCTTTAATGGCTTTCACAACAGAAAAAGTAACTTTGCAACTATTGTAAAATTCTTGAATATGGTTTATACATAGATTCAGAGAAACTAAGAACAAGACCAATCAGAATTACAGAATTTTAAGCGGTGGCACAAGATGCTTGTTTTCTTGCTGGATTTTAATCTTGCCACCGTATTGGCTGCGATATTGTCAATACCAATTTTAAATCTGAAAGAATACATCAATGGCCTAGTTTCCACCGAAAGTTTAAATCGGATCAGATATGTAAGAACCAAACACAGTCGAGTATTCTTCTGTTAAGAAGAGTTAATTAAACACAATAGACACAGGCAACAGGGAATAACGAGCCGTCCAATCAGAATTCTGATATGTAAGTTCGACAGTATATCCCAGAGTTCTGATTGGATAACTCGTTATTCTCTGTTTCCTGTGCGTATTCTATTTAAGCCTTTACAATCGAACGACAGGGGAATCATCGACTGGGGATCGATTCTATATCTTGAAATGAGGTGAAAATTATGAAAATGAGAATTTACTAGAATACTGATTATTTCATTGGTCAACACCTAGATAAATTTGTTCACTTTTGTAATTTTCACCTTGTTTAAAGATACAGAATCGACCTTTTGTAATTGGTTGGTTCGTACATTCAGGGGGTCGATTCTTCAAAAGTGAAATTTACTGGGTATTGACCAATTAAATTATCAGTATTTTAGTAAATACGCTCACTTTTGTAATTTTCACCTCATTTCAAGATACAAAATCAATTCCCTGATCCGGTTTAAATCATCTCGGTGGAAATTAGACCAATAGCAGCAAGCGCTCACTCAACTGTTGAGTCCAATTTACTGAACGCAACCAATGACATCTTTCGTTTCTAGAATGAACAACATTTTTCATGGATCTCTTTTTGCGAAGAGCTGAGGAACGCAGTTGTGGCGCTCCAAGCGGAGTCAAGAAACGCAATCGGAGTATTCCTTTGAAGGTTAACTCCGAGTTTGTCAAACGGTTTGACTGGCTTGACAATCAGTTCTGATCAGTTCGTTAACAGCCTTGGTTGTTGATCGATCGGTCGGTCGATCGTTCGTCATGCCTATCGCCGTGCGAATACATTAACTCGTTGTTACACCCTCACGTACACACACCCGTCGCAGAGACCAAGCCGGGTGGGATTCACCTCGACCAACCTCGACGTTTCTCACGTCGCACGAAAGTGCCGTCCATCAGGGTATGTCGTCGCGGGGCCGTGCAATACGGTAAAATGTTGCCGCCGCTGGCCGATCGAGATCATTCGTTGACAACCAGGTGAAGATGGAAGATGACGCTGACCTCAGGGAACAATTGTTTCTCAACACCGTGCGCGAGAATATAGTGAGTAACATTGCAAATAGTCCCCTGAGTGTTAAAAACGCCCGTCCTCGCAGAGCTGCACGGTCGAGTTTCCCGCGTCATCGTGCGTGCAAAAAAAAGAATCTCCGTAGGCACACTGAGCTCCAAGTGTGGTGCTTTATGTGGGAATCCCACGGAGATTCACGCCTTTCTCACTGTCGTCACAATTGATCCCTCTGGAATTTCCACGAAGAATTGAATGTTTAATATTCATTTCTACCAACATGAATTAACTCCTATCTAGATAGTTCAATTTATTCATCTTTCTAGATCTAAAAATTAAATTTAATTAATTTGTTTCCATCAATGTAGATTAACTTTAATCTTGATTTTTAATCTATCTTTTTCCCAAGGTTGGGGATCGTAACTAGTTAAAAGTTAAAAAAAAATTAAAAAGTTAATAATTTTTAACTCAACTTAGTTAATTTTAAACTTTAATTTATCAACTTTTTTTAAATTAACAATTTTTCTATCTCTCTTCATACTAATATTTTTTTTGTTCTATAAAGTCTTAAATATTAGAGAATTAATTTAGAAATAGTTCAATGATTTCATGATGAGAGATCTATAATAAGAGTTACGGTAGGCAGTTTTTATTGACTTCGGTTTTGTCAATTCCCGTTTATATTTGAATCGCACTAATTTTAGATATCATAAACATTATATTTCAGCAACATAAATAAAATGAAATGAAGATAGCTTAGATGAAAAGCTTTGTTGTAGAACACTATTGTACACCCACTTATTTTCTATATTTTTACGTATATTTTTTGTAACAAATATCAAGTTGATGTAGTCATAAACATGCATGAGCAGTCATTTAAGAAGTTAAAGAAAGTTAGATAATGGTTAAAGAAAGAGAAATAATGCAAACATATATCCTTCTCTCTCGCCAGATTTTAATAAAAACACCTTACTGCTCACCTGGTGTGACTCTTATTATATATAAGTAACTTATATGCGATTATAAAAGTAAATTTACCTAATAATCTATATTTGTAAGTGTTATTTAAAGTAATCTCATTTTAAGAAAATTAGGATTCTGATCTCAAAAATGATTTTTTTTTAAATTAATTTTTTTTTAAACTTAAGTTAATTCAATTCTTAACTTTTATTATTAAGTTAATTCTTTATTCACTTCTAACTTTTAACTTAATTTTATTAATTTTATAAGCCATTAACTTTAACTTAATTTAGTTTAAAATAACATTAACTTACCTAACCCTGCTGAGTTTTTTCAGACCTAAAAATTAATTGGAATCCTGTTTTTATCAAGATTAATCTCGATTCAATTTACTCTTTATCCTTTTTGTAATTCTTGAAACTGAAATTCTAGAAAAATAAGTTGTGAACCGAAATTGATCTACATTGCTGGACAATGTCCAAGATTAAAATTAATCTATCAACGTAGTAACTTTAATCTTGATCTAATTACTTGTATCTTCTTTAATTCCAAGAATTAGAAAGAGATAAAGAGTAAATTTACCAGAGATTAAAGTTAATCTATATTAATAGAAATGGATCCAAAAGAAATCAAGAATTCAACTTACACTTTACATCTTTTCTTAATTCTTAAACAGAATTTCTTAATTCTTAAGAAAAGATAATTAGAAGACTAGAAGTTAAAAATTAAGTTAATCTACATTGGTAGAAATGTACCTAAGATAAAGAATTCAACTTATTCCTGTTTTCTACCATTGTAGTTTAATTTTAATCTCTCAAACTAATTCTTGACCTTTTTTTAGTTTTCTAAGAAAGATGAAGGATAGATTGAACCGAGATTAAAGTTAATCTACATTGGCAGAAATAGACATAAATGTTGCATCCGCTTGTAGATTCTATGATCAACTCATTGGTCACAAAATCGCAATTTTCCACATCATTGGCACGCAAAACTAAGCTTTAAGTTTAACTGGGATCGTCTATTATGGAATTTAATTTCTAATTTGCTTAAAAATGAACTTGTAATTAACATGAGAACAATTAAACGACAAGATCATCGCCTACTCGATGAATTGAGGTTGCAACTTCATTTTTAATTACTCAATTGCGAAAACGTGCCTTATCATTCATGATAACGTTAGCTACGACTGTAACCGTCGGAAACTCCGACAATTCCACGCTGTTTGCCGACGTGGATCGACAAACGGAGCCTACTTGTTTATTTATCTTAACGGGACAAATGTCCGTTCGTCCTCGATTAATCGTGGCCGATGCGAGATTTAAAACTTTCAACTAAAGATTTTAAAAAATTCAAGTTTGCAAAAGCATGTATTTACAAGCGAAGATCCTCCCTTTCCCTCAAATTAATTTTATTTTAGCAACAGCTGTGAAATATTGCCAAAGAAAAAGATGATGTTCCTCTCCCTTCCTTCCATAAAATGTTCTTTGTTTGTCTCTCTTTCTCCGCAGTTTTATAAATAAGATGCTCAACGAGCATTCTTTGTTTAGCGCGAGGCATCGTTTGCTTATTAATCTTTCGTCATTTATTTTAGTCTCGGTTGTAATATCGCCACTTGTGAATAACGTGGATTTACATCCATATCTAGCAATCTACAGGGTGTCCCACGAAAAGTTGTTGAAACTAATTCAACTGTCATTTTGAAACTGTTTAAGGAAAAGTAAAATATCTTTTAATGGAAGATATTTGACATTTTTATTTATACATAAAATGAAGACGAATATTATATCATTTAATAAAGATTTATAAAAATATTGCCAATTTTAATGTTATATATTTTTAAAATGTTTTTTTAATATCAAATTTTTTTTAAATTTACAAAATATATACATATAAGATTAAGAGCAGCAACATTTCAAAAATATGTAATATTAAGATTGACAGTGTTTAGCATTTTTATAAATGTTAAAAATATTTCCGATCGTCGCTTTATCTTAAAATAAAACTGTCAAATGTTTCTTATTGAAAAATATATTTTTTTTGTTCCTTACATGTACATTTACAAATAACTTATTAGTTTCAGCAATTTCACATGGGACATACTATGGGTTAATCCTAATTTCGATTTAATTTATGTTTTTTTAAATCTCTTATCTGGAATTTTGAATAAAATACCTGGAAAATCCCGTAAATTCTTATGAAACTTTTTTTAAGATTTCAATAAAACGCATTTTAATTTTTATGATCATTTCTACGAATATAAATGACCTTTGATCTCGGTTTAATTTATTCTGTCTTTCTAATTTTTAGAAAACGATAAAAAATTAAAACTGCTCATACAGCGCAGAAATTTGCAACGACATTTCTGTATAATTTACAATGTTAAGTACTGTTATATTGCTGTAATGTTGTTAAAATGATCTGATGGATTGTGTATCTTGAAACTAGGTGAAAATTAATAATTATACAAGTGAGCAAAGAATATTATAAGAATATTTATAATTTTTTTAACAGTATCGTGGCATACATGTATTTTGAATTAATTATACTAATGTAATTATTTTCATCTATTTAAATATATTATTTAAATATATTATTTCTATGTCACCTGTTTAAAAAGCGAAATAAGCCACAATACGATTAAATTGCGTTGCAATCATACGAGCCTATTCATTTTAATTTATAATTTTATTTTCATCTCATTTTACAATATATATAATCCACTTCCTGTGAGATTAAACAATAATTTATATTGATAGAAAAATGGATATTAGACCTAGAGAAAGATAAAAATTAAATCGAGATCAAAGTTAATCTATATTAATAGAAATTGACATTAATCGCAGAAGAATCTGATGGAGAAATTTGACTTTGAATTCACGATTTGAATTCGTGGATGAAAATTCACTGGACCTGAGGCGTTTCGTATATCGAGCTTAAATCTCTAGCTTTCCTTCTCGTCCTGCTCTTTCTCGGCGCCCGTAAGCTCGAAAACTAGCGGGAATGCGTGAACGGAAGAATTTCAATCGTCGGTGACGTCTGGCACCGAGTACATTCACCCGGCGTTAAATGCATCTTGTAAATCGTTGTCGCGAAGGAAGCCCGGCGAACGTGGACAACGTCTTCGTTTTGCGATTCCTCACGATGCTCCAAGAAACCGGTCGCTTCGCCGAGAATCCTGAACGAAGAAGCCGAAATAATAGAATCGAGATCGGAGATCTTTATACAGAAGAAAAAGAAATATCAAAGAAATGCTTTATAAAAAGAAATATAAAAAGAAAAAAATGTAAGATGTAAGAACAAAGTCTAAAGCATAGAAGAAATATAAAGTACAAAGTATGAAATATAATAATAATAACAATAATAATGTAAAACAATAATAAATAGAAGATGGAAACGAGTGAATAATATATTTAATAATAAAAATCCTTTGCAACGGATATGTAACTAATGTCCGTTTCTATTAATCCGTATTTTTTATGTCTATGTGTAATTAATTTTAATGTTAGAGTTTAACTAACTCTTTATCTTTTTCTAACAAGAAAACATACTACATTACAAGAGCAACATCAACAAATTCATATTACTAGTTGAAAAATCATGTTTAATAAATATTTTAAATGATCAAATCTTGGGATCCTATGATTAACTGATTTGATTTATACTTTGCCTCGGTGGACTTAAAGTTTTTGGGTATCTATTGTCAAAAACAGAATTTAAAAAGGTTAAACTGAGAAATCTTGCAGTTGAATAATCGGATGGACGGACAAACATTAAAATTATAAAGTAGTTTGCTACGCCTACTTAATAAAAGAAAGAATCCTAAAATATATTGGCATGATCGAAGAGGTTCGTGGAACTTCCAATAACTAAAATATAAAATAGAAGTATCGAATATGAGAAAAGAATATGTAAAAATAACAAGTATAAATTATGAAAAATGCGCTTCTTTCAAGATCTTAAATAAAGGGAAAGCAATATTTAAAAAAAGAAAAAAGAAAAAAACGTTAGGAAGTAATTAGGGAAATATTAGGAAAAAATTGGGAAAATATTAGGAAAAGATTAGACGACTTTCATGATAGTGATTGTCTCAATTATCTATGATTGATATGATTATCTATGATGAAAACTTATAAGATAAAATAAAAACTTCTACTTGTTGTTAACTAAAAACATGAGTTTACCTAATACTTAGTTTTTTGATAACATATACTTATCGACTTTTACCTCTTTGGAAAGTATTGTGAAAGCACGTTCCACTTCCTTTTCGCGACCCGCCTGGTAATCCAATTGCTTCGCTTCCGCATTTAGTTGATCAATCCGGAAGCAGCTGTCACGTGTAATGAAAAAGCAAAAAAGAGGATAAAAATTACGAAATGCAGACGATAAAGTCATGATCAATGTTCAAACTGCGCACAGATTTGTACACGAACGAGATAAAGCGTCCACAAGTTGAAACTTCAAAGAGCAACTTAATATAATCAAATTCCTGATTCCGTCAAGCGCGTCATAAAATGATGTATTATCATCTTATCTTTGTTTAACATTCGGTGAACAACAAGGGATAAAAATGAAATAATATATCATCATTTACGGGGCACAGTTAGTGAGAAAAAAATGAGGGGTATTAGTATGAAATTCGCGTGATTTTTCAGAGACCGAGAAAAAGTTATATCTTTTTCTACATTCCTATCTATTTGATATTTTGTTATTAAATAAAACATCGGACAGGAATAATAATAGTTTTTTGAATAACAGTTATTTTATCGATATATTTTATTCGATGTTTTAAATAACAGTTATTTTATCATGAAGTTTAATTTTTTTTTTCCTTTACTTCCATGTAAATTAAATACGCAGGAAACGACAGCGACAGAATTAAATTAATGCTGGAAACAAAAGAAAAGAATGCATTCCAGGAAAAGATATTTCTTTCACAGAAATATAATAAAAAAAAATAATTAATTAAGGATATTAAATATATTAAATATTAATTTAATGTAAACATATCGTTCATTTGCTACAATGACAACTCAAAAGTTGCAAAAAAGCAAAAACTGTATTTAATATTTAATATTTAAAATTAATTGTATTTTAAAATTAATATTACCACACATATAGTTTAATTCAAAACGCTCAAACTTTCTGGAAAATTTTATTTTTTAATTGTGTCGAATGAGTGATATATACAGTATATATGTTTATTACAAATCAAAATAGATTATGTGATATGTATGTTTACAAACGAATGAAACATAATTACTAAAATGCCAGTAAAATAAGAATATATGTACAGTATAATTCTTAAACATTTATATAAATAATATTAATTCTTACAGAGAAAATGTATTTCTCTATTTCAAGTAATACTTTTCGTATTGCAAAATTGTCGGTAATTCTATCAAAATTTATATCTACATATATATTTTATTTAATACACAGGCTCGATTGTAAATATATAAGTGGGTAATAATTACCATTAGCGTACGAATTAAAGTACATATAAGTTTATATTGCTATTCTTCCCCCTTCAATTTTTTTACATGAAGCAAATACTCGTTCGCCACACCTAGTTCTGACTAGGTACATTGGACTCGCAGAAGATCGGTTCTATCTCACTTTCATCCGTCCTATTCTCGGCAAGAGGCCGTTGCCAGCAACGATGCTGAAAATGTCACGCGTACATGGCTATCCATCTGTAATTATACAGACTTCGTTTT